AGCGGCGAGTCTGCACGGTAAGAGATAACCCACTTCTTCATGTGTACTTTGTTTATGGTATGCCTTGTTGTAGACCGGTTGCCCTGGGGCAGGCAGGTAGCCCTGGGGCAAGGCAGGTAGCCCTGGGGTAGGCAGGTAGCCCTGGGGTAGGCAGGTAGCCCTGGGGCAGGCAGGTAGCCCTGGGGCACTTGGGAAGCCCTGGGGCACTTGGGAAGCCTTGGGGCAGGCAGGTAGCCCTGGGGCAGGCAGGTAGCCCTGGGGCACTTGGGAAGCCCTGGGGCACTTGGGAAGCCCTGGGGCAGGCAGGTCGCCCTGGGGCAGGCAGGCAGGTAGCCCTGGGGCAGGCAGGTAGCCCTGGCGCAAGCAGGTAGCCCTGGGGCAAGGCAGGTAGCCCTGGGGTAGGTGGGTAGCCCTGGGGCAGGCAGGTATATCCCTGAGGAAGGCAGGTACTCTATAGGCTGCTTTGGAGGAGGGAAAGTAGCCTTAATTTTTCTTCACAGCCAGCTAGGTCTCTGACCAGGCCGCCTTGCTAGTGGTGTAGTCAACCAGGCTGTTGACCAGACCTACCAATTACATCCCGGTTGGTCAGGAGTCGTGTGGGGTTCGCCACATATCGAAAGCTGCAGTTCGAACACTTCAGGAGGCAAACAATACCTCATCTGTCATCGAAGGCAAAAGATCGCTGTCTTGAATCGTTTTAAATTATAGGGTTATTTTTACAATTTAGTGTACTTAATATAGCTTATTGGCTTATTGTACTTATTGTACTCGACATGGATAGTTTTCTGTAATGAATTTAGTGGCTCTTTAGCAACTGCAACAATGGCTGAAAATATAGAACTGAAACGTTCTTAAATTCTAAATAGAATTTTGCATAAAGCAAATCTGAAGATATTCGCACGAAAAAAAATAAAAATAATAATCATATCAAAACTCTTTTATACGGGGCAAACTGAAAAGTCTTCTATAATTCAGAACAATTTCAGTAATAAAAGTTATATTAATAATCATAAATAATTAAACCCTAATAAAGTGAGTGTTGGTTTACGATAAACATAAATTATCTCCCTAAAAATTGCCATTGAATGTTTTTTTTTTGGAATTAATCAAGTTTGGCAAATTTACGTTAAGTAAGTTTATAATTTAAGAAACAAACTTGGTTATGTATAAACAATAATCTAATTTAGAACAGAATAGTTTATATACCGACAGTAAGGAGAGTGGACTTACGAGTCTTACGGACAAGCGTCAAAAATATATTTCTCAAAGTTTCAAATAGAAAAGGTTAGCATAAGTTTGAGAAAAAGAACTCATTTCTACGCACCTGTTTTAATAAGTAAACCAGACTTACAAATATCCTATTAACATCGATTGAAAATATACTTTGATATATATTTAATTGGTTGGTTTGTGAACGGGTAAACATCCAGGCTAAGCGTTATTGCAGAAGTAGTAAGCACAGCGTATTATACCCGTACGTTTCTGTGTGCGGAAAATAAATGAACAGGTACTACTGATCCCCATAATAAAAATACAAATTCAAAGTGGAAAATATATTAGATAATACACAATATATAAATATCTATAATTCATATAAATGGTTGGAGATCAGAGTAGCTTCACCAAATTTTTCTCACTAATTACTGTTGGGTACGTGCCCGATTTGGGCGGGTTATTATTAGCATCCATGAAAACTGACACTTGACAATGTTACAGTGACGTCCATGTTTGATTTGACTGCTTACCTATGGTTGGCTACACCACAAGCATTACCAACATCTAAGTGTATATAGGTGTCAGCCAGTGTGGAGACACGTGTGTGTACTCCCACACCATTTGTTTACTATTTTTCCAGGGGTATATTGTGACACTATCTAGGAGGAACACGAGATCTTCAGGGTTTTGGGCAATTAGAAAATGACGGTCTCTCTCTCTGCTGGACACGGTTATGGCAAGGCTCCTCTTGATGTCGTAACATCATTGTTTCTTGCATGCCTCCCCCTTGATGGTTCCACAGTGTAAATAATACAAACCAAATATGCCAGCATACATCTTGTTGTAAATGTGGAAAATATTTATTATATTGCCCAGTAATGAAACATTTAGGGGGGGGGGTCGCAAAGTATGACCCCCCCCCCCTACAAGCGTACTTCCCTAGCAACGCTAGTCTACACAGCCGATACCACGGTACTATGTTATAAGTTATTGTTGATTTTACTCTGTGGAGTTGGAGTTGGTTTATGAGATATTATTGAATGATTGTATAACTTTAATTTAGCGTTAGCTTACTAAGCTTATTGTATAAAGTGTTAGCTTACTAAGCTTATTGTATAAAGTGTTAGCTTACTAAGCTTATTGTATAAAGTGTTAGCTTACTAAGCTTATTGTATAAGCATATTTGCCGACAAATTAGAGATTAAAACTCAGTAAGAATCATCCTGCCCGACTCGTTGGTGGAGGGAGGAGGCGGGATTGTTAACGTTTGGTGTACATACGCCAAGACTGCTCCGAGGCTCCCACCGCTAATGACACCATCCTCCCGGCAAGTATAAGAAATGTTGCCAGAACAAACGTAGAAATCTTAAAGAATAAAAAAAATGGTTAGTTTTCGGCAAGAAGTACAGGACCAGCCGGGCTATAGTGGATATGCAACCTGTCCTCCTACAAACAACGTCGTTTTTTCGCTCGTATGCGTTACATAAGGTCAAAAAATTTCATACTAGAAAATGGAAGCGGCTCACGAAAGTGACGTACTGTCCCGTTTTCTGTTTTGGGTCCTCTGGTAGGTTAGGAGAGGATGTTTTAAACAGACCGTTTTCTTGAAATTGGGCAACCTTAGGAGGAAGGGCTGGGATATGTGGCCCTGCGGGCCGCTCAAAGCAACAGCCCGTTGGACCAAGCTCTCACAAGTCAAGCCTGGCCCCGGGCCTGTACCAGGCTCGACTTGTGAAGCAGGATACACCATCGATCATTCGGAGTTGCAATAAGGCCAATGAAAATAAATAACCCAAATTGCACAGAGGCAAACCCGTGTTGATGCTCCTAGATGCCTTCCCAGTCAGCTCCAGTAGCTTCTTTCTTAATGTGTCTTCCGTGTTCCTGCTTGATATGCATGGAGCAGGTCACTGACCGAGAGTTAATTGGCCAGTGCAAGTGTAAGCCTCGAGTATGTTGTCCAGACCACACACTAGAAGGTGAAGGGACGACAATTGTCATCCCTTTACTTTCTAGTGTGTGGTCTGGTCAACATACTTCAGCCACGTTATTGTGACTCCTCGTCTGCGTAAACCTCGAGTTTACATTTGAAGTCTTGAATAATCGTCACGCTGTCTGCGTATTTCTGCTTTGCGTATAATCACCTATCTGTGTCTGCAGGATCGCGCTCTTAGCTCCTGGACCCCTGCTTTTACAGCCTTCGGGTGTCTAATAAACCGAGACCAAACAATTTGTTAACACATTTCAAGGATGCATTCCATAACAGCTGGCTATTTCCCAGGTACCTAATTTAATGCTGGGTGAAGAAATTTATCAGGTGAAAGGAAATACTGCCCAATCGTTTGACTCGCCCAGATATTGAACAATATTGATTGTTAAACACATGCCCCCCAAGCACCCTAGACCCATTAGTTATGTCTCTTATATTTAGAAATTTCTAATAATCCATTCAATCTTCCGTTTTATCTGTTCTATAACTCGTAAACCCACTGTACACTTGTTGTTATTACAAGCAACAACCCACGAGTCTCGCTTATTATCTAGCTCTTGATCCCGCCCTAATTCCTATTCTATATCCTGAATAACAACCCCACTATTTAAGGCCTTTCGTATAGCATTCCTTGCCTTACTCTACCTTACACTATTATCCTCCCTCCTTCCCTTACTTTATTCATGCCTTACAGACCATAAAAAATAAACTTGCCCATGAAGCAACTCTGAAGCCCTCGCTACAACCCACTCTCCAACACATAGTAATTTATCTTGTAATCTACCGTACAATACTCTACAATAGTCTACTATTCACCTTGACTTTGAACTACTCACTTTAGTCTACTGCCTCTCCTGAGATACCCCTAAACTACTCCCTCAACATACTAGTCTCCCGTCTTGCCATCCCCATTAGAGTTATTCCTCATGTAAACATGGTAAAAGTCAACATTTTTGTGAACGTTGCCAGAATAAATATCCTGTAGCAAGTTTTGGAGCGTCCTAATTACTCCTGGTTCACGCCTCTTGCATGTGGAGCAGATCTGCGTCATCTTCACGCGCTGGGGTGAGGCGTGTCAGGTCGGGAAGGCCGTTCCTTGACAGTGTAGGGTGGAGGAGACAGTTCCTTGGCAGTGTAGGGTGGAGGAGATAGTTCCTTGGCAGTGTAGGGTGGAGGAGACAGTTCCTTGGCAGTGTAGGGTGGAGGAGACAGTTCCTTGGCAGTGTAGGGTGGAGGAGACAGTTCCTTGGCAGTGTAGGGTGGAGGAGACAGTTCCTTGGCAGTGTAGGGTGGAGGAGATAGTTCCTTGGCAGTGTAGGGTGGAGGCGACAGTTCCTTGGCAGTGTAGGGTGGAGGCGACAGTTCCTTGGCAGTGTAGGGTGGAGGAGACAGTTCCTTGGCAGTGTAGGGTGGAGGCGACAGTTCCTTGGCAGTGTAGGGTGGAGGAGACAGTTCCTTGGCAGTGTAGGGTGGAGGAGACAGTTCCTTGGCAGTGTAGGGTGGAGGAGACAGTTCCTTGGCAGTGTAGGGTGGAGGAGACAGTTCCTTGGCAGTGTAGGGTGGAGGAGACAGTTCCTTGGCAGTGTAGGGTGGAGGAGACAGTTCCTTGGCAGTGTAGGGTGGAGGAGATAGTTCCTTGGCAGTGTAGGGTGGAGGCGACAGTTCCTTGGCAGTGTAGGGTGGAGGAGACAGTTCCTTGGCAGTGTAGGGTGGAGGAGATAGTTCCTTGGCAGTGTAGGGTGGAGGAGACAGTTCCTTGGCAGTGTAGGGTGGAGGAGATAGTTCCTTGGCAGTGTAGGGTGGAGGAGACAGTTCCTTGGCAGTGTAGGGTGGAGGAGACAGTTCCTTGACAGTGTAGGGTGGAGAAGACAGTTCCTTGGCAGTGTTGGGTGGAGGAAACAGTTCCTTGGCAGTGTAGGGTGGAGGAGACAGTTCCTTGACAGTGTAGGGTGGAGGAGACAGTTCCTTGGCAGTGTAGGGTGGAGGAGACAGTTCCTTGACAGTGTGGGTGGGTGGGGGATGGGGGAAGAATTGTGGAATTGAATCCACACTGTCAAATGCCTTGACAGTGTGGGAGGGCTGCCCCACAGAACACAAGAGTGTGACAACTTGACACCTGGTGGGCTGAGTTGCGAAGCATTTTAAATTTATTGCTAATGAAGACAGAGCCTCAAGGCCTGCAAAGCACTGAAGAAAGGGACATTAGACAAAGTACTGTAATACGCAATATTTAGCTGTGAGGGAATTTCAATATATTTGTGCAAGAGAATCACAATGATTCTCTCATTGTGATTTTGTCTTCATGCAAATTTAGATGATCACATTGATAAGTGAAAGAGAGCATTGCCTACACAACTGGGTTCGATTCCCAAGACTAGGGAGAGTCTTGGGTTCGATTCTCTGTCAGGACGAAACGTTAAGGGTATCTGTCCTTACATCTGATGAGCCTATTAACCGGGAAATATATAAGTACCCATTAGATTGACAACTGATGTGAACTGCGTCCTGGGGAAGATCGTTTAAGAAACTGTTGTTGGATCATTCTTCACTCAAATAGAACATAAACGTTTCTCTTTACTTTTGTTGTAATGGTTTTGGCAAATCCCTCTTCTGTCTAAAGATAAATGACGGCCATTTCATCCCCTAATGGATATCCAATTTACCAGTATCTCTTCCTGATTGCGAAGCACCCAATAACCTTTCAAAGATTAACTGCAAATCTATTTTATAGATTTTTTTGTCGCCCTTCTGGCGAATTAAAACTTGACCGCCTTGTTAAATTTGTTTTGTTTCAATTCTCATACCGCAGTGTCCTCCGGAATTTTTATAAAATCAAACTTTTATAAAGTTTTTTTGTTTGTTTTGTTTCTAACAAAATGTACTTCCCATGAAAGTTACTGGTTGAGGAGTGACCACACAAGAGGACCAGTGCTGGGCGTGACCCTCCTGCTTCTCCGCCACCCTCAACCTGACTATTATTCCCAAGATAATCAAAGGACTCATTGAAATTTTGGTGATTATACCGCACCACCAAAGCTACCGAGAACTACTGAACCATCCACGCTGATTTCCTCAGACTTGAGGCAGCATCGATTTTCACATGATCAGGGCATCTTAGAATGATGTAGGATGCCCTGGCCATTGCGAACCTTCTTGTTTTGATATTCATGCCAGCTGCACCATATCATGCAGTTTCGAAAACAACAGTGATAAATGAAACAAATTATCGGATAACATAATAGACGAAGGATCGCTGGGTTGTTTCAAGCGTAGGTTAGACATGCATATGAGTCTGGTGGATATAAATATAGGAGCTGACTCGTATTTGGGACAATATACCTTCTGCTATTTCCTCTATTCTTATGTCCTAATATACAGCCTACACTCGTTAAAACAGTGAAATACTAATACAACAAAACACTAAGCCACTTATAAACCACTTCGAGGACGCGGTTTATACCTACAGGATTATATAATGCGGATATATTATATATTATATACCTGTAATTCCCATTCGCTGAAAATAATTCAGTTGGTAGATATGCTAACTGGTTTTAGACAATGTAATAATTTAATCCTTCGTTATCATGAGAAAATAATGGTTTTATTTATATTTTTTCACTTTTGGCACACAAGTCCAAAGTATCATTGAAGGACTTAGTCATGATTAATAATTTGTTGTGCAGAACAAGAGTGCTATTTTACTGACTCGTGCGGTTAGTGAAGCAGTAGTGGAGATTCGGATCACTGACGCTACCCACTAGAAAACGACTGATTGATGAAGATTAAGCCACCCAAGAGGTCGCACGGGCAAGAATAGCCTGTTAGTAGTAGATTTTATTTGAGTGAATGTGATATTTGGTCGTGAAACTAGAAAACGCCTGGGCTCATGTTATTAATACTGAGAGTAGGTCCTTATCTCGCATAATACGATGATAACGCACAAGGAAAAATCAGTGACGAATCTGTGAATAAATATTGGGGCTGTAATATGGGATCGAACGCACATCCCTGATCACCCCCCGACAGTACGTCTGGCCGAGGTGGTGAAGTATGCAGAAGCGTTCCCATAGTCCAGCCTCACGTCACATGCGTCTAATGACCCTACCTACCCCCTGTGATCATGTCATATTCAAGTGCAATATGCTAGAGATTACAACCTCGAAGTAAATGATAATGTCTTAATTTACTCCCTGGTCCAAAAATTGGATGCATTTTTAATCCTAATAACAGGAATTTGGCAGAGAGAACGAACGCTAAATCTTATGTGCAGTAAGTGATGTCCAGGACGAGATTACCCCAGTTGTTGAGAGCCATAAATTCTACAGTTAATGAGACAGTGAGAGACGCCTCTGGCCTTGTTCGTCTTGGCACTGCCAAGAACCCTCCAAATCACTTGGTGTAGGATAACCTCCTCACCTGTATTACTTTGATATCAAAGTTAATAATAAATCGCATGGGTCTGCATTTTCTTAAATAATTAATGAGCTATTAACTAAAAGAATCAAAGGTTTTACAATTGTGTGAAACTCAGTTAAAGATTAACATGGTCACTCGTATGATTTATTGACGCGGAAGAGGACCTGCCAAGCCCTTAGAAAAACGAAGAACATATGCGAGGAATTCAATATAGTTGGTGTTCAATGTGTAAATGAGCGTTAGTCACACGTAGACAGACTAACGGGAGGATGGCACTAATGTTGTTGATATCTTGTTCACTACACCTGTAGTCTGCCGCAGGTGGCGCACCTGTAGTCTGTCGCAGGTGGCGCACCTGTAGTCTGTCGCAGGTGGCGCACCTGTAGTCTGCCGTAGGTGGTACACCTGCAGTCTGCCGCAGGTGGCGCACCTGTAGTCTGCCGCAGGTGGCGCACCTGTAGTCTGCCGCAGGTGGCGCATCTGTAGTCTGCCGCAGGTGGCGCATCTGTAGTCTGCCGCAGGACCTTCACAGCCCGCAACAGCTGTATTTGGGCAGTAGACAGAGTGAGTGTGGCTTGCAGTGTGTTGCATGGCAACATGCGAGCCTGTGCAGTGTGGTGCTTACTGTGGTTGCCAGAGTACAGCACTCTTGACCCCTATCTTGCTCATCATCAATTCTCTTTGTCTCAAATGGGGAAACAGTCAATGCGATTTCGTTTAAATTAATTAAGCTAATCCTAATAAACTTTAACCCATTTGTGTCCATCATACCTGTTTGGTGCATTAGTGGATTGACGGTCCTTTTGTCCTCTTGCTTAGTGTCCCTAATTGTCCTTTGTTCCTCCTTAAGTAAGCCGAGGTCAATGAATCATTACTTAAGTGTCCAGCGCTTACTATGCTATTTATTAACCTCCTCCCCTTCCCCTTCTCCCCACTTACAGTGACAACTAAGAGGGTGAGACTATGCACTGTCCGTAACCGTGCACTAGCTAGCCACTAGGATGTTATGGGCTAGTTTCCTCCCTAGTTGCATTCCTGGTCCTTGGTCCGGAAATATGCAGGGTGGTGACAGCATTAATATCTGTCTAACTCGATGGCGTTGTGTGTATGTGTGTGTTGTTATATAAGCTGTATGAACGATATCTATTTTTTTCACAATATCTCTCTCTCTCTCTCTCTCTCTCTCTCTCTCTCTCTCTCTCTCTCTCTCTCTCTCTCTCTCTCTCTCTCTCTCTCTCTCTCTCTCTCTCTCTCTTTCTCTCTCCCTCTTTCTCTCTCTCTCTCTCCCTCTCCCTCTCCCTCTCTCTCTCTCTCTCTCCCTCTCCTCTCTCTCTCTCTCTCTCCCTCTCCCTCTCCCTCTCCCTCTCCTCTCCCTCCCTCTCTCTCTCTCTCTCTCTCTCTCTCTCTCTCTCTCTCTCTCTCTCTCTCTCTCTCTCTCTTTCTCTCTCTTCTCTTTGCACTATCTTTTACTTATCCTCACAGCTCCTCTCTTTCTCTGTTTCATCCTCTCCTTTTCTCAATATTTTCTCCCCCTTTCTCTCTCCCTCTCTCACTAAATCTCCATACCTCTCTCCCACTTTCTCATTCTATCTCTCCATCTCTTACTTTCTCTCCCTCAAGCTCTTCTCTCTC